GCAGTCTTCCCGAGAGCCAGAAGTGCCTGGAACTGCTGGGGAAGGAGGTAGGGAGAGGAGATTCATCCTGATAATGTCCATGTCTTCCAGGACAGTTAGCAACTATGGGTGATTAGGGTGTGCCCAGGCACATCTGGCACACCCTGTGTGCAGGACTATTGGTCACGTCCATAGCATACAAGGGGGATGTTCCACTTTATCACCCCATGCGGTGTCTTCCCAAAAAAAGTAAACTTACATCTAGACATAAATATTATGGTGCGGCACCCAATTCTAGACTTGCCCATCATGGAAAAGGAAGGCTATGTTGTATGTGTTTCTGTCAGACTGCTTGGTTCATATGAAATGTGTTTTTGTTCTTGTAGGATGAAGGCTGGCTAATGGGAATTAAGGAGAGCGACTGGCTCCAGAACAAAGAATTTGAACAGCACCGAGGAGTATTCCCGAGAACTTTACCGAAAAGTACCAGTGAGGAGAAGTCACCTCTCATCTCCGGGATACAAACAAAGCAAATTTTCTGTGAAAATTATACACCACGTCTACCCTCTGAACAGTTAGCCCTACAAGTGTCAACTTTTAAAGGTTCAGTTCACTCCTAGACGCCAGGTTAGATGTTACTCAGTAGATGCAGTTCCTGGAATGCTAGAGTGTATGTTTATTTTTTGAAGATCCCAGTTCCACCACAGGATGAGATTGGGTCGACCTTTAGTCTGTTACAGGTTGATGAGATCTGGGTGGCAGCCATGATTTTAGGTTTAGGAATGCCAAAATAGTCTTTTTTTTTTTTTTTTTTTTTTTTTTTTTTTTAATGTGCGTGTGTGTGTCGCCAACTCAAAGTTCAGGCAAGTGTGTTTTTATGTCAACTCCCAGATCAGCCTGTTGGCTCAATAGAAAAGAGTGAAGTCACCAAGGACTTACCTCACTCCTCAGCGCCATCGCCCTTTCCTGATGACTTGCCAGGCTGCACGTCCACCTGCTACCTTGTGTAGAATGCCTGTATCAAAATCTGAGCATGCTATAGTGTGTTCAGCCATCCTTCTCTCTAGATGTAGTGTGCCATGTCTACAAAAATGTGTGAAAAAGGAGTAACTTTGAAATGCTTTGTAAAATAATTATATTTAAACACTATATCCGAAAGCTATAAAAAAAAAAAAAACTGCATTAAAATTACTGTTCTTAAATGTCATTAAAAAGTCATAAACACCAAGACATCTAAATATTTTAAATACATTGACATTGTGTGGCTGTCCCAGTTTTTTGTTTTTCTGAGGCTGTCACCATCATCTTCTGCTGGTAGATCCTTTGTTTTTCTGAGGTTGTCACCATCATCTTCTGCCGGTAGATCCTTTGTTTTTCTGAGGTTGTCACCATCATCTTCTGCCGGTAGATGCTTTGTTTTTCTGAGGTTGTCACCATCATCTTCTTCCGGTAGATGCTTTGTTTTTCTGAGGTTGTCACCATCATCTTCTGCCGGAAGATGCTTTGTTTTTCTGAGGTTGTCACCATCATCTTCTGCCGGAAGATGCTTTGTTTTTCTGAGGTTGTCACCATCATCTTCTGCCGGAAGATGCTTTGTTTTTCTGAGGTTGTCACCATCATCTTCTGCCGGAAGATGCTTTGTTTTTCTGAGGTTGTCACCATCATCTTCTGCCGGAAGATGCTTTGTTTTTCTGAGGTTGTCAACATCATCTTCTGCCGGTAGATGCTTTGTTTTTTTGAGGTTGCCACCATCATCTTCTGCCGGTAGATGCTTCAAAGTTTCAACTATTTCCATAACACTTCTGGAGTCCGGCTAACCTGTAGAGTGCCCTTTGTTGCTGGGTTGTAGATTGCTGATGTTGACCCAAGCAGTCTGATGCCTTTGTAACAAGGCCACCTGTATTTCTCTACAGCCTAAAATTGGCACCTCCTAGCTTTGTTCGACAATTGGATGAAACGTAGGGACACATTTTTGTTTTACCAGTTTTTTTTTAAACCTGAGTGATTCTGGGATCTGTGTATTAAAATGCAATAAGGTATTTTTGTAGAAGTATTTGTAAGATACGGTGTTGCTTGTGGCCAATTCCTTTGGGTTCTCATTGGCTGCCTCAAGGAACACTACCATTTTTCCTTTAGCTCATTGTTCATAAAGCCACCCAAAAGGTTAGGCATGCCTGAGCTCCTCTAGAAAAATCAGGGGCCACAAGAGTCCAAACCGTTTTATGTCTGTAAATCCAAGAAACTAGTTAGAAGGATTTTTTTTTAAAATATATATTTATGCTCCATTTTGCTGTGTGGTATTTGTGTGTTGCTTTGCTGCTGTCTCCGTTGACCTTTTTGTCAGGTAACAAAAGGTCAGCTTGGAGATACCTTTGCTCACAAGGCTGCAGCGTCCTCCAACATGGCATTTACTCAATCCCCCGGTTGGGATGCAGACTCTTTCCCCCAGGATATAATCCAGTATGGCATTGGCTATTGTGTGCTTAAGTGCTTTTTCCCAGTTAACCAAGTCCCCCAACTCTGGCCAAGTTTCATGTGTGCTTAAGTCCTTATTCCCAGTTAACCAGCGGCTGAAGGTCCCCCAACTCTGGCCAAGTTTCATGTGTGCTTAAGTCCTTATTCCCAGTTAACCAGCGGCTGAAGGTCCCCCAACTCAAGACTTAAGCACACATGAAACTTGGCCAGAGTTGGGGGACCTTCAGCTGCTGGTTAACTGGGAATAAGGACTTAAGCACACATGAAACGTGGCCAGATTTGGGGGACCTTCAGCTGCTGGTTAACTGGGAATAAGGACTTAAGCACATATGAAACTTGGCCAGAGTTGGGGTACCTTCAGCCGCTGGTTAACTGGGAATTAGGACTTAAGCACACATGAAACTTGGCCAAATTCCCAGTTAACCAGCGGCTGAAGGTCCCCCAACTCTGGCCACGTTTCATGTGTGCTTAAGTCCTAATTCCCAGTTAACCAACGGCTGAAGGTCCCCCAACTCTGGCCACGCTTCATGTGTGCTTAAGTCCTTATTCCCAGTTAATCAGCGGCTGAAGGTCCCCAAAATCTGGCCACGTTTCATGTGTGCTTAAGTCCTTATTCCCAGTTAACCAGCAGCTGAAGGTCCCCCAACTCTGGCCAAGTTTCATGTGTGCTTAAGTCCTTATTCCCAGTTAACCAACGGCTGAAGGTCCCCCAACTCTGGCCAAGTTTCATGTGTGCTTAAGTCCTAATTCCCAGTTAACCAACGGCTGAAGGTCCCTCAACTCTGGCCAAGTTTCATGCTGTTCAACACCAAGTATTAGCTATTTTCCCAACCAGCCAAACCGTAGTTGCTGATGTACAATCCGTCCGGCCATCAATGAAAGCCCTAATTAAAGTTTGTGCAAGAGTGTTCTACTGTTACAGATCAGAAGACTTCATTGGAAAGCCCTTTATCTTTTCCCGCTTTGTGACGATGGTTCTAATTAAAATCGATCTGCTTGTCCTACGGCTGGTATGAGTTCCGATCATTGGTTTGTCAATGAAAAACTGGTTGGTAACCTTGAAACAGAACCAGAAGGTAGAGCTTGTCGCCCTGTAGCTATAATAGGCCTACAAGTCCTGGCATGTCCTCTAAAGCTAGAAGGCCCTCACATGTGTTGGTGCGTCTTGTTCTTGCAGGAATTATATATGTTAATGAATGTACAGGGGCTGGATCCCATTAGGAGAATGTACATGGCACAAAGGTCATATGTTAAGCTATTGGTGTCGCTAAAGTTTTAGTCCTGGTTGGACAGTCTTGGTCTTGTTAGTACATCGGGTAAGTTTCAACCCAAACAGCTGTGGCCGGCATCCAGGCACATTAGAACGAAAGCCATGTCTATATTTCCACTTCGCCACAAACTTCTGAAATATCTATATGATCTAATGAAGTATTGCTAGGTATTCATGTATCTGCAACTGGATCCCTATGAAATTCAGAGATCATACTTTGCTGGCCACTTACTCCGATCTGATTTAGATTTTTTTTTTTAATGCATGGTCTAATTTTTAATTTTAAGAAATCAGTTGTGTCCTGAAATGGCCTTTCTAAAATGGAACAAAAATTGTCTTTGCTTTTTAAAGTTGCTCAGCACTAAAAGCCCTTTAATATTTCTGCTTTAGTCTTTCACAGATGCATATTTATTCATGATCGATAGCAGCGTAGACTTCAATGTGTTTAAATCCCAAATGAACTTTCAGTTTGGTTTGGCTAAATATATTCCAAGTGCAACCAAAAGTGTGCAAAATCTTCTATTTTACGTACTTTAGAAAGCTGCCACAGCCTGAGTAGAAAAGCCTGTCCCTTGTGTAGGCGGGAGAACAATAAATCATTGCTCACTGTTTAAAGCGTTTCTAAACCCACAACAGTAAAATCTGTCTATATATGCGGTAAAACATGCTTGTTATACTCGCTGTGGAGCCTAATGGCTTAATCCTACACACTGTGTAAAAAAAAAAAAAAAAAACTCTAGAAACACACCAAATCAAGTATGTGCAGAGGGACTCCTAGGGCTCTGTACTATCAGCAGATGGATTGGGGACAGTAGAAGGGGAGGATCAGAGAAGACTGTATAAAAAAAAAAAGTTGTTTGATCCTGTCTTCTCTGATCCTCCCCTTCTACTGTCCCCAATCCATCTGCTGATAGTACAGAGCTCTAGGAATCCTTCTGCACATGCTCGATTTGGTGTGTGTTTCTAGAGTTTTTTTTTTTTTTTTCTCTTTGGGAGGGTGCATGTGATCAGCAAAGGGCCAAACTGCCCTGTCCAAAGGCTCAGGGGTTAGGTAGCCTCATATGACAGTCAGAGGAGAATGAAAACTCCTACAAGCTTTAACCAGTGCTCTGATGGAAGTCACAAGACGGCTAAATACATTTTCTCTTCAACAGTTTATAGCAGTTTATATTTACTAAAATAATTGCATTTTACATGTTCTGTGTACTGTGGGAGACCGGATATAGTGAATGCAGGGTCCAGGGAGAGCGGATGTAGTGAATGCGGGGTCCGGGGAGAGCGGATGTAGTGAATGCGGGTCCGGGGAGAGCGGATGTAGTGAATGCGGGGTCCGGGGAGAGCGGATGTAGTGAATGCGGGGCCCTGGGGAGAGCGGATGTAGTGAATGCGGGGCCCGGGGAGAGCGGATGTAGTGAATGCGGGGCCGGGGAGAGCGGATGTAGTGAATGCAGGGCCCGGGGGCCGGGGAATGCGGAGCCCGGGGAGACTGGATATAGTGAATGTAGGCTCCTGGGTTTAGTACCACTTTAAGGAACCCCTGGCAGCCTCTGGAGGAACCTAACATTCCACAAAAACCTTTATTACAATTTTGTTTTCTTTAGAAAGCAAACACAGCCTGAGTAGAAAAGCCTGTCTCCCACCAGCATGCTGCAGAGAAGGACCCTTGCACTCTATAGGAAAGCAGTGGTCTCTTTGCAGAGGTCCGACATGCTCTCTGCTGAATCAGGGCAAGAGGTCTCCAATTAACAGAGTTTACAATTCCTACCAAATGCTGAATTCTATCTCTGTGTGAAAGCAGTGGTCTTTCTGAAGAGGTCCTACATACCCTCTGCTGGGTCAGAGATCAAGGGTCCTTTATGGCAGCAAGCTGGCAAGTTTTCTACTCAGTCTATGGCTGCTTGTAAGATAGGTCTGCTCAGCCAAGGTTTTTTTTGGAACCCTAGGTTCCTCCAGAGGTTGCTGGGGTTTCTTGAGCAGTGAGCAAACATTTATTGATCTCCAGCCTATATTGATCTCAAGCCTATGCTGACCACCTATGTAAGGGGACATTATTGAGCACTCTGTCCTCTTCTGGCCTTTTACTCTTATTGATTCTTTTTAGTAGGGGTTCTCTGGGACCTAAAATTATTTCACGGTTTCCTCTAATAAAAAAAGATTGATAAAGTTGTTGTTTTTTTTTTTTTTTTTAGCTTTGATGCACCTGGAATGTCAATTAAAACTGAAAGTTCTGTTGTGCTTTAAGCACTTGGATCCATATATGTGCTTCAATAGATGGTCCTGTCTGCTTGGATCCACATATGGGCTTCAGCAGATGGCTCTCTCCACTTGGAGCCACATATGGGCTTCAGTAGATGGTCTTGTCCGCTTGGAGCCATATATGGGCTTCAGTAGATGGTCTTGTCCGCTTGGATCCACATATGGGCTTCAGTAGATGGTCTTGTCCGCTTGGAGCCACATATGGGCTTCAGTAGATGGCTCTGTCTGCTTGGAGCCACATATGGGCTTCAGTAGATGGTCTTGTCCGCTTGGATCCACACATGGGCTTCAGTAGATGGTCTTGTCCGCTTGGATCCACACATGGGCTTCAGTAGATGGCCCTGTCCGCTTGGATTCACACATGGGCTTCAGTAGATGGCCCTGTCCGCTTGGATTCACACATGGGCTTCAGTAGATGGCCCTGTCTGCTTGGATTCACACATGGGCTTCAGTAGATGGCCGTCTGCTTGGATTCACACATGGGCTTCAGTAGATGGCCTGTCCCCTTCATCCACACATGGGCTTCAGTAGATGGGCCTGTCCCCTTGGATCCACACATGGGCTTCAGTAGATGGGCCTGTCCCCTTGGATCCACACATGGGCTTCAGTAGATGGGCCTGTCCCCTTGCATCCACACATGGGCTTCAGTAGATGGGCCTGTCCCCTTGCATCCACACATGGGCTTCAGTAGATGGGCCTGTCCAGTACTCTATCAGGGTGACAAGGAATGCAAAGTTGGGCTTAGCAGATGGGGGGCAGTGTCATTTTGTGCTTTCACAAATGTTCAGGAATAATCCTCAATTTGACTTTATTGCCCAAAGACCTCAAAGTTGCTGAAGTGTTGATCACATCAGCGGGACGCTGCAGTTATATTTGGTGGTTTTATTATAGGCTTAGGGTGTGCACGTGAGCATTTAATTGTACGCGATCTCTGTTGGTCATAGCAACCAATTTCACTGCTTCCTAAACTGCAGCTAAGCTGACCACTTACATTTCAATCTGATGGTACAACCAACAATTTTAAATTGCCACCAAACTATACACTCACCGGCCACTTTGTTAGGTACACCTTTTGCCTGGAGTAGTCTGCTGCTGTAGTTCATCTGCTTCAAGGTTGGACGTGTTGTGCGTTCAGAGATGGAATTCTGCATACCTTGGTTGTAACGAGTGGTTATTTGAGTTACTCTTGCACCCATCATCTGGAACCAGTCTGCCCATTCTCCTCCCACCTCTGACGTCTACAAGGCATTTTCTTCCACACAACTGCCGCTTGCTGGATATTTTCTCTTTTGCGGACCATTCTCTGTAAATCCTAGAGATGGTTGTGCGTGAAAATCCCAGGAGATCAGCAGTTTTTGAAATACTCAGACCAGCCCATCTGACATCAACAACCGTGCCAAAGTCACTTAAATCCCCTTTCTTCCCCATTCTGATGCTCGATTTGAACTTCAGCAAGTCGTCTTCACCACGTCTAGATGCCTAAATGCTTTGAGTTGCTGCCATGCGATTGGCTGATTAGCAATTTGTGTTACCAAGCAATTGAACAGGTGTACCCAATAAAAGAGGCCGGTGAGGGTATAGACCACCTAAGTACACAGTATAAGACCAGCTAAAGATTTCTGGCCTAACCGCACTCACCTAATTCAAGTGCTAATAAAGAAGGTGGCCTAACACAACCTATGAAACCTACAAACGTGTTTTTTTGGGGGGGGGAATATCTAATTTTATATTGGTAGATTGTTTTAAATTCTTATTCTTCCTCTGCAATCATTTATAGCTGAGGTACAAGAAAATGGCCATAACGTTTTTTTTTTTTTTTTAATATTGCTTTATCGGGTTATATCCTGTGGTCAGTATTAAATGCAAACAACCCTTAACCCTTTGGGGACCATACGATTACGGAACGCCAAAAGACCAAAAGAATGAATTTTTTGTTTTTAAAATTCGTACACTTCAGTTGCTGTCCCTAAGCCATTTCATGAAATAATTGGCAAAAAGCTAGATCCATTTGTTGATAAGAACTAATATTTTGACTCAAACAAAAAAAAAAAAAAAAAAAAAAAAAAAAGTATTTTAAGTTCTTAATCAGATGATACAGGCAATTAAAAACATGGGACAGATACGTCCCTTGGTCCTCAAAGGGTTAACAGAGTTCTTTAGAAGCACTAGGTCTGGCTAATCGCTCACGTTGCACCGTTTTTTGCAATTTTGCTTCTAAATTTTACCATATTCGCTGCTACGGGAATTTTTGCAAATGTGTAAAAGCTGCCTGAAAATTGTTTTTTTTTTTTTTTTTTTTTTTTTTTTTATAAGAAATTTTTGTGTGTGTGTTTTCATTGACCTAGCTAACAGAACTGTGATTTTCTACTGTAACAAGTGACGTGAATTTTCCGAGTGTTTTATGTACGTAGAGTCACCCAGGAACCACTTAACCTGAACGTTTTATCCGCCTTTTCTTTGCTGCGAAGGCTGCTGGGGTGCATTTTTAACACACGGGATTGCTTTACTTTTCCTCGCAGCAATATTCTATATTATGAATATATTTTTTTTTTGTCAATTGTTACTTTGTAATAGACACACTGAAGTTTGACATAAGAGGGTGCACTGAATATATTAAGAATCTGTACATTGTTAGGGTTCGTGTACATGGGCAATGTTTGTTCTGATTTTGCTGAACGTTTGGCCTAGGGCTACACGGGCAATTACATCTGTGCTACTGAGACATTGAGGCTCCCTTCACACCTGTGATCTGTGTGTTGCATGAAGGCAGCCCATGTATTGAACTGGGCTTCCAACTCTCCATGACAGACAACATACCTGAGCTTTTTTTCCAACTGCAGCACACTTCAACACGTGGTTGTGGGTCACTAGGCATTGTGGTGCACTGCTTTGCAAGTGCGTTTGGGATGGTCATTCCAAATGCATGGCAACGGTCAAGTACTATTGTGCATGAGGTTCATTACCGCAATTCATAGGTGTTGAAGCCAGCTTTAAATGGGAAAAATGCCAACTTTCTGCTCCACCAGCCGCAGTCAAAGGAGCAAGAGTTGGTGGGTATGCCTTGCTGGGTGGGGTGCGATCGGCACATGGTGGGTATGCCTTGCTGGGTGGGGTGCTATCAGCAAACAGGTGTTGAAGTCAGCTTTAAATGAGCAAAAATGACTGTCTGCCGATAGCAACCCACCCAGCAAGCCATACCCACCATCTGCCGATAGCAACCCACCCAGCAAGGCATACCCACCAACTCTTGCTCCTTTGAGCATCATGGTCTTTGGAGCAGAAAGTTGGCAAAGGAGCAAGAGTTGGTGGGTATGTCTTGCTGGGGGGGTTGCTATCAGCAAAGACACAAGAGTTTGTGGGTATGCCTTGCTATCAGCAGACAGGTGTTGAAAAGCCAGCTTTAAATGGGCAGAATGACTGTCTGCTGATAGCAACCCCCCCAGCAAGGCATACTCACCAAATCTTGCTCCTTTTGAGCAACATGGTCTTTGGAGCAGAAAGTTGGCAAAGGAGCAAGATTTGGTGAGTATGCCTTGCTATCAGCAGACAGTCATTCTGCCCACTTAAATCTGGCTTCAACACCTGTCTGCTGATAGCAAGGCATACCCACCAACTCTTGTGTCTTTGCTGATAGCAACCCACCCAGCAAGGCATACCCACCAACTCTTGTGTCTTTGCTGATAGCAACCCACCCAGCAAGGCATACCCACCAACTCTTGCTCCTTTGATGGAGCAGGAAGTTGGCAAAGACCATGTTGCTCAGACGGTCATTTTGCCCATTTAAAGCTGGCTTCAACACCTGTCTACTGATAGGAACCCACCCAGCAAGGCACACCCACCAGCTCTTTTCTTTGCCAGCTTCCTGCTCAATCAAAGACCATGTTGCTCAAAGAAGCAAGGGTTTGTAGGTATGCCTTGCTGGGTGGGTTGCTATCGGCAAATGGTGGTTATGCTTTGCTGGGTGGGTTGCTATCGGCAAATGGTGGGTATGCTTTGCTGGGTGGGTTGCTAGTAGCAGACAGTCATTTTTGCCCATTTAAAGCTGGCTTCAACACCTGTTTGCTGATAGAAACTCACCCAGCAAGGCATACTCACCGTCTGCCGATCACACCCCACCCAGCAAGGCATACCCACCAACATCCTGCTCCATCAAAAGACCATGTTGCTTAAAGACACGAGAGTTAGCAACCCATTCAGCAAGGCATGCCCACTATCAGCAGTCATTTTGCCAATTTAAAGCTGGCTTCAACACCTGTCCACTGATAGCAACCCCCCCAGCAAGGCATACCCACCAACTCTTGTGTCTTTTAAGCAACATGGTCTTTTGATGAAGCGGGAAGTTGGCAAAGGAGCAAGAGTTGGTGGGTATGCCTTGATGGGTGGGTTGCTATCATCAGACAGTCATTCTGCCAATTTAAAGTTAGCTTCAACACCTGTCTGCTGCTAGCACCCCCCCCCCCCCCCCCCAGCAAGACATACCCACCAACTCTTGCTCCTTTGCCAACTTTCTGCTCCAAAGACCATGTTGCTCAAAGGAGCAAGAGTTGGTGGGTATGTCTTGCTGGGGGGGTTGCTAGCAGTAGACAGGTGTTTTAAGCCACCTTTAAATGGGCAGAATGACTGTTTGCTGATAGCAAGGCATACCTACCAACTCTTGTGTCTTTGCTGATAGCAACCCACCCAACAAGGCATACCCACCAACTCTTGCTCCCTTTGTGAAACATGGTCTTTGATGGAGCAGGAAGTTGGCAGATGGCCATTTTGCCCATTTTAAAGCTGGCTTCAACACCTATCTACTGATAGCAACCCACCCAGCAAGGCACACCCACCAGCTCTTGTCTTTGGCTCCTTTCAGCAACATGGTCTTTGCCAGCTTCCTGCTCAATCAGAGTTGGTGGGCATGGCTTGCTGGGGGGTTGCTATCAGCAGACAGTCATTTTGCCCAATTAAAGCTGGCTTCGACATGTGTGGTAATGAACCTTACGCACAATGGTGCTTGACGGTGCCATTCCTTTGGAATGACATTCCAATGTACTTGTGAGTCAACTGTTGGTTTTCCCATAATCCCATTACCAACACATAATGTCCTTCCTAGTACCCTTATACTAATTTGTCACTTTGCCTGTGCCAAGTCTGCTTTTAGTCATACCCCTCAGCATTGAATACTCACCATTCATGCTCCCTTGTTTGCCTTCCTTGGCTGCTCACAACTAAAACCCTGCCCAATTTGAGCAACATGATCTTTGATGGAGAAGTGGAAGTTGGCAAACTGGGCAGGGCTTTGGTTGTGAGTAGCCAAGGAAGGTGGGCAAGGGAGCATGAATGGCGACTATTCAATGTTGGGTGTATGTATCTGCAGACTTGGCCACTTTGCACATTCGGTGGAACATGACCATGTCCTCCTTAGTAACCCTATACTAATCGCTGTGTTGCTAATGCGATTATGGGAAAACCCAACAGTTGCTTTGCAAGTGCATTGGGGTGTCACTCCATTGAATGGGATTGTCGAACACGGTTAGTTTTGCACCCCACAGCTGTGAAGCCAGCCTAAAATGGGCAAAAAAAAAAAAAAAAGACATTGTCTGTTGATAGCTGCCACCCCCCCAAGCAAGGTATATTCACCAACCTCTGTTCCATAGCAAAGTCTTTAATGAAGCAAAAAGTTGGCAATGTTGCTCAAATAGAGCCAGGCTTTGTGTATGGGTGATCAGAGAAGGCAGACATGGGTGGGTGAGTGTTCTTTGCTGGGTGAGGTTGGCTGTAAGCAGACTTTGTCACTTTGACCATTCAGGGCAACACAACCATGTCCTTCCAACATTTGTTGTAACCTTATACCCATATCCCGGTGTTGCTAATGAGAGGATGGGAAACCAACAGTTAAATTTTTAATTGAAAAGATCTTTAACTGCCAGTGTAATCCTAGGCTTTGCTGGCAACTCAACGTATCAGTGCTGCTTTGCAGGTACTTGATACTAGCAGTGGGTGCAGACCACGAGAGTCTAATTCTGAGCAAAGCCAGCTAATGTGATCTTGTGCAAGTCCAGCACAGTTCCTGTGTCCTTTTCTTTTTTTTTTTTATCGCAACTGCACCCAAAACGGATATCCTAATGACTGCAATCATACCTGGATTCCTAGAGCTCTCCAGTACTGCATTGGTGGCACTTCTTTACTTTTCTGTGTCCACCTACAGCTATAGGGTAACAGTGAAAAAGTTTCCTTCACACACCCTAGAATGGGGAAGCATGAAGGCCCTAGAATGGGGAAGCATGACACCGTTGTCTGGTTTTCTAGTTCAGGGTAGTTAATATACTACCTTGGAACGTGAAAGACTTTGGTGGATGCCTATTATAGAATGTAGTTAATGATGTTTGATGTGGGTCTGTAGAGACTGCGGAAGTTGGGCAAATCTTGGATTTATCATGGGAGTCTCGGGGAGATATAGGAAGCCAATTTTTGATTCATGTACACCTGAAATATCAGTTTTGAGTGAAGTTGTCTCTTTAATAGGGCTGGTTTTATTGAAACCCAAGCAAATGAAGTCAATATGGAACCATTAACCAACGCAACTAGACTCCTAGGGATAGATTTACTAAAACTGGTGCACTCAAAGGCTCATTGGCTACCATGCACAGCTTCACCAGATTCTAACTTTAGCGTCTTCAATTGAGCATTGACAAAAACTGGAAGCTGATTGGTTTCTATGCAGAGCTGCACCAGATGTTGTACTCTTCAGTTTACGTAAATTGCCCCCCAGCTTCATTTGAAAGATGGAACTTGATTGTTTGTCTTGACCACCATCTTGATTTTTAAAAGTTGGCCCTATTGGCCTTTTGAAGCAACTTGCCACCACTGCGCAGTGGAGTCATTCATGACTGATTAACTTAAAGGCAGTGGGGTTGATTTCATAAAGCGAAATTAACTGTTCACGTTGCAATCGAATATTTCCCTTAGTCAACTCTATTGACTTCCAGCATCCAATCATGTGCAAACTAAAAAAATTATATATATATATATATATATTTTTTTTTTTTCCCTTGCATTTGATTGGGTATTCTTAGGTCAGTGAATGTGAATTTACTTTGCAAAGGGAAAATTCCCTTGTAAGGGAACAGCCTATTCACCTTTACCATATCAACCCCAACAAGTCATTGGTCAACAGGAGGAAACGGTCCTCTTGTCATTTGTCTCATAAATTTTGTAGACTGTTTTTTTTTTTTTTTTAAATTTATATTAATTAAAAAAAAGAAAAAAGTCTACAAAATTTATGAGACACATGACAAGAGGACTGTTTGCTCCTGTTTACCATATCAACCCCAACAAGTCATTTGTCAAGGTGAATAGGCTGTTCCCTTACAAGGGAATTTTCCCATTGCAAAGTGAATTCACATTCACTGAGCTAAGAATACCCAATCACATGCAAGGGGAAAAAAAAAAAAAAAATATATATATATCTCCTGAAGCAAGAATGGAGAACTTGCCTATGGCAGCCAATCAGATTAAATCTTTTAGTTGAACTGGGGCATCTTTGCATCTAGGTGACTGCAATGGGCCAGTGCTCCAGGCCCAATCCTTCAGTGTTACGAGGGGAGTCATCTTGCTGGGTGCAACAGTCTTTTCAACAAGTGGTGTAAATTGGTTTTAATATTTTACGAAGGACTCCCCCACCATATCATCAGGAACTAGAAACTTTGCCAAGGCCCACTCTGCCCTGTAACTCTTTCCTACTCAAATGATAGGCAGAAAACTGCAAAATGTCCTCTTCCATTGTGATGGTGATCAGTACGCTCTAAACTTGAAGTACGACCGCAAAGTGTTACGTTTACAAGAATTCGCGTTTTAAGTTTCTCCAATTACTGGTCTCTTTTTAAGCCCTCCACCTCTGATGTCCTTTTGACTGGTGTCATTTATTGGCATCAGTTCTAATCAATGAAAGAATTGGCAGAATTTTTTTTTTTTTTTTCTCATTTTAAGTGGGAAAAGTGATATTTATAAAGGGGGGATTTTGTCTTCTGTGTTATTTTATTGCTCAGGTATAGGCTTGTCCTGAATACATTGTTACATCTGTTATGATACACCCAATAAAGAGATCCCCAAGAGTCTGCGTCTGGTGTCTTCATGTGACTTGATTGGAGAAGACTGGTTATTAAAGAAGGATCCTTATTAACAAATACTGGGTACAATAAATCGAATTCTATATATATTTAGGAAATGGTACAACAAAAACAGCACTCAACTCCCTCTACCCAAACCCCAACAAGTCACTTAACAGTCCTTCCCCTGAAGTACATAAGTAAACTTGACTGAAATAAATAAAAATAAAGTGTCCCATACACCTAGAGTCCAAATAAAGTCCAAATTAAAATCCAAAAATTCTTGCAGGTGATTTCACAATAAATCTTTATCCCCAAATAAGATTGATGGTATACTCCAGAAGATCTTCATATACCTCAAAGAAAAAATCTAAACATAGTGTATTATCCCAGGTATTATAATAAAGTGCCACACGTGTCACATGCAGACAAACTAAGGTGCCACAGCAATCGTGAAATATCAAGACTCCAACAACTCAATTAGTATCTCCACTGCACACAATATAAAAAGTGCATAATTACCCTAACATACCGTATTTTTCGCTCCATAAGATGCACCTAGGTTTTAGAGGCAGAAAACAGGAAAAAAAATTCTGAACTAATGGACTGCAGACACAGTACAGGAGATGACCAGAGACTGCGGACAGTACAGGAGATGACCAGAGACTGCGGACACAGTACAGGGATGACCAGAGACTGACTGCGGACACAGCACAGGGATGACCAGAGACCAGAGACTGCGGACACAGCACAGGGATGACCAGAGACTGCGGACAGCACAGGGATGACCAGAGACTGCGGACGCAGGGCACAGGAGATGACCAGAGACTGCAGACGCGGCACAGGAGATGACCAGAGACTGCGGACACGGCACAGGGATGACCAGAGACTGCGGACACGGCACAGGGATGACCAGAGACTGCGGACACAGCACAGGGATGACCAGAGACTGCGGACAGCACAGGGATGACCAGAGACTGCGGACACGGCACAGGAGATGACCAGAGACTGCGGACACGGCACAGGAGATGACCAGAGACTGCGGACACGGCCAGGAGATGACCAGAGACTGCGGACACGGCCCAGGAGATGACCAGAGACTGCGGACACGGCCCAGGAGATGACCAGAGACTGCGGACACGGCCCAGGAGATGACCAGAGACTGCGGACACGGCACAGGAGATGACCAGAGACTGCGGACACGGCACAGGGATGACCAGAGATTGCGGACAGTACAGATGACTGCTGACCTTTGGGGAGGGGGGAGCGGGTACCTGAATTTGACAGGTACCCGCTCTTACTTCCACGGAGTTTTTGTTTCATCTTACCTGTTCCTCTATCCAGCCGTGCTCTGTCTACCCGGCTTCTGTAGTGTCGGCGCTCGGCATGACAGCCGGATGCCCAGTGCGCATGAGCAAGAAGCACTTGCGCTTTGTGATTGGTTCGGCGGCTTCTGGGATCTGTCATGTGTCCCAGGTACCGCCTTACCATTCACAAAAAGCACCGCTTCTTGCGCATGCGCACTTGGCACCCGGCTGTGCCCATGCCCACACTACAGAAGCCGGGAAGACAGCGCGCCGCTGGATAGAGGAACAGGTAAGATCAAAGAAGTAAGAGCGGGTACCTGTCAAATTCAGGTACCCGCTCCCCACCTCCCCAAAGGTCAGCAGTCATCTCCATAATGTCCCGCTGCAGAGCTGAGCGGTCGGCCCGGTATTCTGACATGGCCGCGGTGGAAATACCGGACCGGCCGCTCCATATTCGCTCCATAAGACGCACTGACATTTTCCCCCCTTTTTTTGGGGGGAAAAAGTGCGTCTTATGGGGCGAAAAATACGGTAGATAAAATCAGCATAGGATCCATAATAAACATGAGATTGCCTCCAAACATTGTTCTACCATCTTCCCCAAACACTTCCCATAGACCTCATAAACAGACCAGGGATCAGTATATGTATTAGATGACAAACATATTTTATTGTAGCAACTTACATTAAAATGTGATGAAATCAGCTTCCATATAGTGAGATGGTCCAAACAACACCACTCCTCAGCGGTAACTATATTTATATGGCCATACCACTCTGAAGGAGAGCCAGGCAGTGAATGGAAGTCTCCAGGGTAGGAACAGCCGCGTGTTCCAGAACCCAAAATGGCCGCCTCGACACTTCCGGAAAATGTCAATACGTCACGTGCCTCAGACGTGTTTCGTCACATCCGGACTTTTTCAACATCCCTGTTGAAAAAGTCCGGATGTGACGAAACGCGTCCGAGGCACGTGACGTGGTGACGTATTGACGTTTTACGGAAGTGTCGTGGCGGCCATTTTGGGTTCTGGAACACGCGGCTGTTCCTACCCTGGAGACTTCCATTCATTAACACCAAAGCAGCAGAAACTGATTAACAAGCCCCTAACAATTACAGAGACCCAGTGATGACGTCACCCGTGTCTTTAACCAGTCCGGACACGTTCACCCCCTTCCTGTCCAGGACAATTTTCAGCTTTCACTTTGAATGACAATTGCGCGGTCATGCAACACTGTACCCATATGAATAGTTTAGCATTTTTTTTTTAAAAAGAGATAAAAAAATAAAACTTTATTTTGGTTGTATTTATTCACCACTGGGATTTTTATTTTTTATCTATATAAAAGTCCAAAAATTTAGAAAAATGTTTTTCTTATAAAATTTTGCAAATAAATAATCTTTCTTCATCAATCTTTCCCAAAATGTATTTTGTTATCTTTTTAGTAAAAAAAAATGAATAACCCAAATTAGTTTATAAGCAAAAATTATCATTTATAACCATTTTTTTTTTACATTTTTATATTTTTTTTTTTTTTTTTTTCATACTGTCACCCTAGCAGTACAGTGTCACCATGGTGACACTGTACTACTTGTGGGGGGTGATGAAGATTTTTTTTTTTTACACTGATTGCTTTTACACCCATAAAGGTTGTAAAAGCAATCGTTTCTCCTTCTCTCTGGCTGCATTCTTGCAGCCATTGAGAAATACTGAGTGAGCTGTGATTGGTCACAGCTTGTCACATGGTACAAGGCTGCTATGAATTGCCCTGTATCATGTGATCTCTGTGATCATTCACAGATTTCACATGTAGTAAGCAATGATGTCAGAAGTGACATCTTGCTTACTACTCTGCATGTGATCACTGATTGGCCAATCAGTGATCACATGATCGGGACCTCACACAGAGGTCCTGTACGACGATTGGTGTTCCACTGTGTCCGGAGGATACAGCGGGCACCGAATCGCAGTGCTGCGCACTCCCAGGGAGCGTACAGAAGCAGGGTGCAGGGAGGCCGTTTATAAACAGCCACCCGCCCGCACTGCCACCGTCAGGCCGTTTATATAGAATGGCCGGACGGGAAGTGGTTAATAAGGTATGTAATGAAAATCAGAAAGGTTTTATTTAAAAAATCTCATTAGTATGTTGATACGGGGAAAAGAAGGAGCCATGGAAGGCAAAATAAGCGGAGTAAACGGCTTTAATTCTGACATATTAGAAAAAATATTCTACAATATAAAACTTTCTTCATACAAACAATACTGTACAGAAAAGTTCCGGCTGCGCTGGGACGAGTTCAGAAATAATCGTCAATCTTCCTTTTCTTGGACGCACTTTCACAGAGGCCTTCCGAGTCCACCTCCTCACATGCCTCAAGTAACAGCGACTCGTCCAAATCATCCGTCGCTTCATCCTGCGAGAAAGAGCGCTGGAACAGGTCATAGATGGTTTGCTGCTTTGGGTCCTGCGGGAAATGAAGTTCAACAATGTCCCCCATAGGTTCTATTGTCAGATCATAGGTTCTACAGGTCAATGGTGGTCACATTGCTTGATATGGGGGGGGGGGGGGCTCAAATGTGCTCCTTAACATCAGCAAAGGGCCACACATTAAATTCAGGGAATATTTAGTGTCAGAAACAGCAGGACACACAACACAGTATAGCAAAAGACTAAAGGTATGATGCAGGAGATGGTCAGAGACTGCAGACATGATAGAAGAGATGGTCAGAGACTGAGGACATGGTACAAGAGATGGTCAGAGACTGCAGACACGATACAAGAGATGGTCAGAGACTGCAGACATGATACAAGAGATGGTCAGAGACTGCAGAACGATACAAGAGATGGTAGAAGACACGATGGTCAGAGACTGCAGACACGATACAAGAGATGGTCAGAGACTGCAGACACGATACAAGAGATGGTCAGAGACTGCAGACATGATGATGGTAGAAGAAGATGGTCAGAGACTGCAGGCAAGAGACATGCAGACATGATAGAAGAAATGGTCAGAGGTGGCAGACATGATAGAAGAAATGGTCAGAGGTGGCAGACATGATACAAGAGATGGTCAGAAACTGTGGACATGATACAAGAGATGGTCAGAGACTGCAAACATGATACAAGAAATGGTCAGAGACAGCAGACATGATACAAGAGATGGTCAGAGACAGCAGACATGATACAAGAGATGGTCAGAGACTGCAGACATGATAGAAGAGATGGTCAGAGACTGCAGACATGGTACAAGAGATGGTCAGAGACTGCAGACACGATACAAGAGATGGTCAGAGACTGCAGACATAATACAAGAGATGGTCAGGTCAGATAGAAGAAACTGCAGACATGATACAAGAGATGGTCAGAGACTGAGGACATGGTACAAGAGATGGTTAGAGACTGCAGACATGATACAAGAAATGGTCAGAGACAGCAGACATGATACAAGAGATGGTTAGAGACTGCAGACATGATACAAGAGATGGTCAGAGACTGCAGACATGATACAAGAGATGGTCAGAGATGGTCAGAGACTGCAGACATGGTACAAGAGATGGTCAGAGACTGCAGACACGATACAAGAGATGGTCAGAGACTGCAAACGTGATAGAAGAGATGGTCAGAGACTGCAGACATGATAGAAGAGATGGTCAGAGACGGCAGACATGATACAAGAGATGGTCAGAGACTGTAGACATGATACAGGAGATGGTCAGAGAAGCAGGGAAGGTGAGCCAAGGAACGTATATCCTGCCGGGGTTGGAGTTGGCCTGTTGGCTCTGTATGGTTAAAGCCCAGATTCACTTCAAATAACTACCGGGAAAAGACATCTCAGTTAAATCTGATGGCTTACAAGAAGTTAAGTGCAGCAAGGTGCAAGCCACCTTCTGGATCTCTCTTCTATTCACAATTTACAGATACGCTGAGCACCAATCGTACAGCTATCACTATACAGGAGACCTGACTGCACAGGAGCCATTCTGTCCTCTGCCCATCCCTTCTCCCTTCTTGTCCTCTTGCAGAAAACTTTGAATTCTGTGAACCCATTCACAAAATGCAAGGAGTATTGTGAATGGACAAGGGGGGAGAGAAAGAGTGGGCAACAGGGCTGTACCTCTCCTGTGTGTCCCAGGGCATAGCGACACCAATACTTGACATTCAGCAAAGCTGTAAACTGTGAATTCTTACACAGAGATGAAACAAATCCACCTATAAGTTGTACCTGTATATCTGCAGCGCTCTTTCCACTACAGCCTCTTAAAACACATATTTTCAAAGCTCCAGAAAGCTGGGGGTGGGGATCTGATGCCACACATTGCACAGCATACAGCAAGGACCTGAGTGTAATCTCAGACCTGAGTGGAAGGAACGGACACACCCCCCTCTACACATTCTCATAGCCAAACAGCCATAGCTGAGAATGTCAATCACCTGCTGTGTGCTGAAGGAGTATTGTGAATGGACAAGGGGAGAGAGAAAGAGTGGGCACCACTGCTGTAGAGGAGATGTTCCTCTCCTGCGTGTCCCAGGGCATAGCGACACCTATACTTGACACTCAGCAAAGCTGCAAACTGTGAATTCTTATACAAAGATGAAACGAATCCACCTATAAGTTGTACCTGTATATCTGCAGCCCTCTCTCCTCTACAGCCTCTTAAAGCTCCAGATTTTCAGAGCTCCAGAAAGCTGGGGGTGGGGATCTGATGCCACACATTACACAGCAGGGACCTGAGTGTAATCTCAGCCCTGAGTGGAAGGAACGGACACACCCCCTGTACACATTCTCATAGCCAAACAGCCACAGCTGAGGATGTCAATCACCTGCTGTGTGCTGGAGAAGGGAGCTGAGCCATCCCCAGGGATTCTGTGGTGTGAGCATACAGTGACTATACAGATAACAGAGGGGAGAGAGAGCAGATAGGATCCATGCTATACACTTTGGATTGAGGCAAGTACACACTATAGAAGGATATGCTTTGTTCAAATGTCATTTTAGGGGCTTGCAACCACTTGAATGTTTTCTTTAGGTCATTTTGCTGCCACAAACATGAATGAAATTCTTGCTCATAGCCATGACTTACAAATTGTCGGGTTTCACAGATGACATCTCACCTTATAAACATAGTCAGCTGATTCCGTCGTTTCAGAAAAGTTGGCCTCAGACAGCCCGGCCTGGCCCAGAATCCTGATCTTCTCCTGAATCATCGGCCTGATAGAGCGGAACAGAAAAAGGTGAGTTTGTGTGACAACGGGGCTCATTGAACTGCTCATGCTACAGTGTTGTCACTAAATCAGAATAAAATGAGTTCTCTTCTGGTACAAGGGGCACAGGTACACTATGGGGGAGATTTACTAAAACTCTGAATCTGGGTCAGCTATGCATGGCAGCCAATCAGCTTCTAACTTCAGCTTGTTCAATGAAGCTTTGACAATATAAAATGGAAGCTGATTGGTTTCTATGCAGAGCTGCACCAGATTTTGAACGCTCCAGTTTTAGTAAATAACCCCCTTTACTTATACAAATTAAAGTGATATTAAAGGTGGTTGTTTTTTTTTTTTTAATAACAAACATGTCATACAGTTGTGTTCAAAATAATAGCAGTGTGTTGAAAAAAGTGAATAAAGCTGAAAATCCTTCTAATACTTTTATTTCCATCCACACAAATGCATTGGGAACACGACACATTCTATTCCAAATCAAAACATGAAGAAAAATACATCAAATTTGTGTTGTTCCTCTAAAAAAATGGAAGAAAAGTGAATATTAGACGGTTCAAAAATATCGCAGTGTTTGTATTCTTCTTTACAAACTCAAACATTCACTATATAAACTGAGAAATGTTTGAAGATTTTGCTTTCCTTTGAATGACTTCATGAATATTTGGTTGTAGTCGCACTGTTTCTGAGAACTGCTGTACATCTGTGTTGCATGGAGTCACCCAACTTCTGGCCCCTGTGATCAGGTATTCCAGCCCAGGATGATTGGACCACATTCCACAGTTCTTCTCTATTTCTTGGTTTTGCCTCAGAAAAGGCATTTTTGATGTCACCCCACAAGTTTTCTATTGGATGAAGATCCGGGGATTGGGCTGGCCACTCCATAACGTCCATCTTGTTGGTCTGGAACCAAGATGTTGCACGTTTACTGGTGTGTTTGGGGTCGTTGTCTTGTTGGAACACCCATTTCAAGGGCATTTCCTCTTCAGCATAAGGCAGCATGACCTCTTCAAGTATTCTGATGTATTCAAACTGATCCACGATCCCTGGTATGCGATAAATAGGCCCAACACCGTAGTATGAGAAACATCCCCATATCATGATGCTTGCACCACCATGCTTCACTGTCTTTCACAGTGTACTGTGGCTTGAATTCAGTGTTTGGGGGTCGTCTGACAAACTGTCTCCGCCCACTAGACCCAAAAAGAACAATCTTACTTCCATCAGTCCACAAAATGTTGGGCCATTTCTCTTTAGGCCAGTCAATGTGCTCTTTGGCAGATTGTAACCTCTTCAGCACACGTCTTTTTTCCAACAGTGGGACTTTGCGGGGACTTCTTGCAGATAGCTTGGCTTCACATAGGGGTCTTCTAATTGTAACAGTCCTCACAGGGAACGTCACACCTTCTTTCATCTTCCTGGAGCTGATTGTTGGCTGAGTCCGCCCCATTTTGGCTATTCTTCTATCCATTCCAATGGTAGTTTTTCGCTTTCTTCCACGTCTTTCAGGTTTTGGTTGCCATTTTAAAGCATTTGCAATCATTTTAGCTGAGCAGCCGATCATTTTCTGCACTTCTTTATATGTTTTCCCCTCTCCAATCAACTTTTTAATCAAGGTACGCTGTTCTTCTGAATAATATCTGGAACGACCCATTTTCCTCAGAATTTCAGAGAGAAATGCACTCTAACCAGCATGTCCAACATTTGCTGCCTTCCTTCCTTAAAAAAAGGGCAATAATTGCCACCTGTTTTTCAAAGAATGAATGACCTCACTAATAGAACTCCACACGGCTATTATTTTGAACACGCCCCTTTCAATGAGTGATTCAATGACACAGAATCAGCAGCATGCATGTCATGACTGTTGGGTCTGTTGGATTTCTATTACTCTACTACACTTGCTAGT